TGTCATCTCAGCCTTACAACTATGTCACAAAAAAGCAGCAAAGAGTCGCCCACTTTTTGTATTAACATTTTTTAGGGACTTAAGCAGGGTGAAATAGGATCACACTTAGGTACTGAAGTTTACAAAGATGCCTAAATAGATGGAGTGGGTTCTGTCCACTGTGCCTAATGTCCCTAATAATATACATTAGGCATGTTAGATAGTTTGGATTGAGGAAAGCAGCCAATTCCAACATGCCACCTCTACCAGGCAAATAATCTGTAGAAATCCAGGTGGTAAGTATTAGGGCTGTGCGAGGCTTTGGACTGTGCTTCAGATCCAGAGAAGCTTCAGACACTTTGTTGTCCAAAGCAGTGTGTCTGGATCGAAGCACTGGCTTCGTTAGGCTTTCTGAAGCACTTCAGAGCCGCTTTGGGGATCTGGCCGTAGGGTATAATGAGGAATTAATGACATATCTATAACTTTGTTGCTTTTTGACTGGTTTGGATGAAACATGCAGGAATGGTAGCCTATGCTTCAATGAGCTAAGAAGGCTAGTTGGAGAAGCACTGAAGACTCAGAGGGGAGGGGAGCCAGGGGTCCAAGGGGAGTGGTCGCTCCTTAAGGAGACGATCCTCCAAGCCCAGGGGAAGATAATCCCCAGGAGGGTCAAAGGGGGCAGGAGAGCATATAAGCTTCCGTGGCTCACTAAAAACATCCGGGAATGTCTCCTTGCCAAAAAGGAGGCTTACTCCCAATGGAAAGGAGGGGTCATCACTAAGGAGAACTATTCTACAGTTGCTCGGGGATGTAGGGGGATGGTTAGGAAGGCCAAGGCAGAGATGGAACAGGGGCTGGCTTCCCGGATTAAGGACAACAAGAAGTCCTTTTTTAAGTACATAGGGAGTAGAAAGAAGGCCCCAGGAAATGTGGGGCCCTTGCAGGACAAGACGGGGAATCTGGTTGTCACGCCAGACGACAAAGCCAACATATTTAATAACTTCTTTGCCTCTGTCTTCCTCAGTAAGGACCAGAACTGCCACCTCCCTGCTGGGCCCCCTTTGGGCCCCGGGGGAGGCTCACCTGGGCCTAGAGTGAGTGAGGATTTAGTTAGGGAACTTCTGGAGGGGCTGGACATTTTTAAGTCAGCCGGCCCGGATGATCTTCACCCTAGAGTCCTGAAGGAACTGGCTGGGGTCATTGCAAGTCCCCTGGCACGGCTTTATGAACACTCGTGGTGCTCTGGAGAGGTGCCGGAGGACTGGAAGAGGGCCAACGTGGTTCCCATCTTCAAAAAGGGGAGGAAAGAGGACCCGGGGAACTACAGGCCAGTCAGCCTTACCTCGATCCTGGGCAAGCTGTTCGAGAAAATTATTCTGGCACGCATCCAGGAGGGGCCAGCAGGGAACGGCATGCTCAGGGGCAACCAGCACGGGTTCATCAGCGGCAGGTCCTGTCAGACCAACCTGGTGGCCTTTTACGACCAGGTCACTAAATCATTGGATGCAGGGGTGGCAGTGGATATAGTTTTCCTAGACTTCAGGAAGGCTTTTGATACTGTCTCTCACCCCATTCTCATTAGGAAGCTGGGGGACTGTGGCGTAGACACCCATACAGTCCAATGGGTCGCCAACTGGTTAGAGAGTCGCACCCAGAGGGTGGTAGTGGATGGGTCCTTCTCGACCTGGAAGGACGTGGGAAGTGGGGTCCCACAGGGCTCGGTCCTTGGGCCCGCCCTGTTCAATATCTTCATCAGTGATTTGGATGAGGGGGTGCAAAGCACCCTGTTCAAGTTTGCTGATGACACTAAGATGTGGGGGGATGTGGGCACAATTGAGGGGAGCAACAGGCTACAGTTAGACCTAGATAGGTTACAAGGATGGGCGGAGGAGAACAGGATGGGGTTTAACACAGACAAGTGTAAGGTGATGCACCTGGGGAGGAACAATCGGCACCATACATACAGGCTGGGGAACTCCCCTCTTGTCAGCACGGAGGTGGAAAAGGATCTGGGAGTCATTATTGACTCCAAGATGAACATGAGTCGGCAATGTGGGGAGGCGGCTAGGAAGGCCAACTGCACCTTGTTGTGCATCCACAGATGCATCTCGAGCAGGTCCAAGGAGGTGATCCTCCCCCTCTATGCGGCACTGGTCAGGCCGCAGCTGGAGTACTGCGTCCAGTTCTGGGCGCCGCACTTTAAGAGGGATGTGGACAGCATGGAGAGGGTCCAGAGGAGGGCCACTCGTATGATCAAGGGACAGCAGGGTAGGTCCTATGAGGAAAGGTTGCGGGACCTGAACCTGTTCAGCCTTCAAAAGAGAAGGCTGAGGGGGGATCTTGTGGCCTGTTATAAACTGGTTAGGGGGGATCAGCAGGCGCTGGGGGAGTCCCTGTTCCCCCGAGCGCCGCAAGGAGTGACCAGGAACAATGGTCACAAGCTGGCGGAGGGAAGGTTTAAGTTGGACATCAGGAGGTGCTACTTCACGGTCAGGGCGGCTAGGGTCTGGAACCAGCTTCCAAGTGAGGTGGTGCAGGCTCCCACCCTGGGGGTTTTTAAGAGGAGGTTGGATGACCACCTTATTGGGGTCATTTGACCCCAGTGCTCTTCCTGCCATGGCAGGGGGTCGGACTAGATGATCTGCTCAGGTCCCTTCTGACCCTAGAAACTATGAAACTATGCTAAGAGCATGAAGCCTGCCAAGTTTCAAGAAGTTCGGTGCAGGGGCTGCGGGGGGAACTGCACCCAAAATTCTTGAAAGCAAAACTCATGTCATATCTGTGTGTTACACCACAAGGGGGTGAAAACTGCAGGGGTGGTGTCCCCTGGTGAGGCCACAAAGCCTGCCAAGTTTCAAGAAGATCGGTGCAGGGGATTGGGAGGAACTGCACCTCAAGCTGCGGACATGCAAAACTCGTGACATAGGTGACACTGTATGTGTTAAGGCGCGGCAGGATGAAAGCTGCAGGCCTGTTATAGCCCCTGCTGCAGCCATGAAGCCTGCCAGCTGTCGAGGAGATAGCTGCAGGGGGGTTCTGGGTTCTGGGGCCCCGCATCTCTGGCTACTGACAGGCAAAACTCATAACATGAGTGCTTGTGCAACT